TAAGTTCAATAATATAAACTCCTCATGCAAATAACTTTAATTGAAAGTATAAAATCACAAAATCTATATTAAATTGATTAGGTTATATCGTAACCTTAATAAAATAAATTAGTTAATAATAAAAATAATAAAATCTGAAATTATAGTCATGAACATAAGAATATCTAAGGAAGAACAAAATCTAATTTAAGGTAATTGAAATCCTTAATCTTCTATTATTGATGAATCCTATATCTTGATCTTCAAGAATGCCCAAAAGAGGGATGTCACCAGCCTTCACCAACTCTCCTAATTCTGAATTTGGATGAGTATTTATAGGATTTTAGAAACTCTAGTTAGAATAGAAGTAGGAATTAAAACATAATAGGAAAGTTGAAATTTGGATGTTGAACGCATGGTGTCGATACCCCCAAATTATGTGTCGACACAAACAGAAAACAGGAAGTTTAATTCTGGACGCCTAACGCATTGTGTCGACACCCTGATTATGTGTCGACACTACACCCGTGTCGAGTTTCTCCTCTCTTCGCCATTTCTTCAATGGTAAAATAGCAGATATGGTCCTCATCTTTCGTAAAATGAGCACTTAGATCCCAAAACTCAAGATTCATTTATTTAAGTCCCAAAGAGGCGCCATTCTTCTTGCAATTCATTCCCTCAACTTTTAAAAGATGTTCAATTAATCTCAAAAACTCTTATTTTTATGCATTCAAGTTTTTTTCTGCACAAAGAATGAAAACTATGTAAAATCTAATAAAATTCATCCAAATATTAATAATATCAAGGCAACAATGCCACATTAACATGTATATAAATTCATCTCATCACAGCTCGCGCCTGGGTTCGTGATGAACCCAGGCGCAAGCTAGGTTCGTTGCCAACCCAGTCGCGCGAGCTGGGTTCATCCTGGGTTCGTGAAGAACCCAAGACAAACCCATCCAGGCACGCTCTAAGTTCATCATGAACCCAGGATGAACCCAGGCGCGATGAACCAAAGTCATGCCTGGGTTTGCGACGAACCCAGTAAAAGTTAAAAAAAAAAAAAAAAAAACTAGAAGGGTGAAGAAGATGGGGGCAAATAAGTAATTACAAAATAACCTTTAAAATATTTATAATGACAATTATGTAATTAAATGATTTTTAAGGTTATATTAGAAAAAAAAATATGAAATGCTGACGTGAATTAAAAAATATGTCCACATCATTTTTTTTACAAAGTGGATTTTTCACGTCACACAATTTTGTTAATTGACTATCACTTATCAAAAATTTTAACAAAGGGACCAAAAAAGAGGCTAAATTTTAAATTTTAAGGACTAAAAAAAAGATTTTTTTCAATACATGAATTAAAAAGGAACTTTTTACTATAATAGAGAGACTAAAAGGGATAGTTAACCAAAATATTTCCCTGAGTTAAGTACACAAGCAATAATGATTCCCACTTAACTCTTGTGATAAAGTAATCCAACATCATTGCCTATTTTCAAGAAGAAAAAAAAGGGTTAAATTTAATTTTTCATTTAGTAATTATTATTTTATTATTATTTTAATTTAAAAAATCTATTTTTTTTTCAAAATTCATCTATAAATTTTAAAAATTATTTCAGATTCATCTATCTAATAAACTTTTGTTAGTTTTTTTAATAGAATCTCATGGCATGCTTTTGTGGCACTTATTATCTGCATATATCTATCTAATAAACTTCTATTAGTTTTTTTAATGGAATCCAATGGCATGCTTATGCGGCACCTATTATTTGGCATATGCAGTTTTGAAAATTTGTACTTTC